CCATGCGTCAGACATTTGACGAGTAGGGAGTGAGACTGTGTTGGATGATTCTCTTTTGTGAAGCTGGAGAAAATACATCATGAAAATAACACTATAAATAAATCTGAAAAAAATATAGACACAACCTTTAACTTTTAATGAATGAAACAGACATGAACTACTTACACTGATTTGAGCTCTCACTCTTCTGTTGTCATGCATTGAAATAGCAAGAGACTGACAGTGAGGGGAGTTAGACATGCATATATACCTTTTGTCAACACTTTCACAAACATGTTGTGGAACCTGTCGAAACTGACCTGGGCAGGCTTTTCAGAAAGCAGTTTATGTGCCATATGTGAAGTTTACGTGTAAGTGATTAACTTAAATTTGATTAACTTAACTTAACTTAACTTAACTTCACTTCACTTCACTTCACTTCACTTCACTTCACCTAACTTAACTGAGCTAAACTTAACTTAACTTAACTTCACCTAACTTAACTGAGCTGAGCTGGATGATGACATCACTTTTTTCTCTAGAGCTGCTTTATGCCCAAATTGAACTAATTATTAAATTATGATCTTTACAATGGAACTGAATCAACAAAGACACTATTTTCTTGTTAGAGCTGCTTTACAGCCAAAATGAACTCTATTTGCATCATTGAATCATAGTTTCCTGTTGATCGCTGTAAGGCTGCTTTGAAACAACCTGTAATGTATGAAGCACTATAAAAATAAAAGTGACTTGACTTGACTACACCTCAATGACTTTTGATACTTTTGGTCTTACAAATATTCTTGATACATTTGGTCTAATAATTTTACATATTTATCTGCTTTTACTTTAAATTGGTGAACATTTTCAATCACATGTTTAGCCATCTCAAAGTTGCAAACGATTGCCCTAATCAAGGCATCATACACATAATGAGCTTCTTGTGCGGCGTCCAATCCAATGACAACCCCTACAGCTGCTCCTACAAATGGAAATGCTAGAACAAAGAAAACTAGGGGTTACACTTTATTTCGATAATCTGCAAATGCTGACTCTAAAAGTCATAAAACTAAGCAAATCAGTGACATCAGGGCTGTAATATGATTGATCTATATCAAAGAAAAGGGTCTTTATCTATATTGCAATATGAAGCACGTATGATTCAGCTTTCCCTGAAATGATCATCTTATAATGCTGCAACAAGAGAATCTGTTTTTACTGTTTCTCATTCTCCTCTGTTTTTGAACCACCATCGTTTTCTTTAACTAACTATTCATCTGTGTGATTTGTCAGAGAGGAAAAACCCCTTCACACATCTGATGATCAATAATCAAAAATGTTGTCCATAGGTTTTCTATAGCAGAATTAGTTTTGGTCTTTAATTTAAAGTTCAGGGATTTTGATGTTATTGTGACATATATAAAAGAGATGAATTAATTTATTTTTTATTAATAAATATTTCCATAAGGTTCCCCCTGTTGATGGCTTTATATCGAACTTAGCTTTTTACGTCAAATCAGAAATATATATA